CATGTCCACCTTAGAGACAAAAATGAAACATCAAAGTCTCCTGCGATTGAGTTTTTAAAAATTCTTCTAGATGTACTTTCTGCTTATTTATGTTCTGCCTCATTTAACACAAAAAATCCTGTGCACATGGGACTAGAAGTTGAACATAGAGCTAGTGTCACCCATTTCACAGATCACAAGAGAAGGACTGCCCCAAGTCATGGCTTCTGTCACGCACACAAACTATTCACCTATTTACAGATCTTTGGGGAGGAGGAAACCACTTGAAAAAAAAAAACACTTAGCCTCATAATATACAGAACAATATTTTGCTGTACAATTTTAGTAAGATATATACAGTAGACTGTTTCAAAGCTTCTCTTCTGAAACTAAAGTAATGTGACACTTTACATAACTGAACATTTGCCATGACAGTAAATAACCTTCCACTGGGTTTACTGAAGGACACACTAAAAATTACTTTTCTTTCAACTGGAAGCTGGCTTTCTATACAAAAGATTAGTTCTACCTGCAGAAATACACTAACTTCAATGACATTATGTACTGTCATTCAAAATCCACACTTCAGCTGCAAAATAGACTACTAATAGAATTCAAAATAAATGTAAATAAATATTAAAACTAAAAATATTAAAAACTAAAATACAGATATCACAAAGTCAGTACATACTATTTCAAGAATCTAAGAATCAGTTAGGTACATGCTTTTTTCCCCAGTAAGAGAGCTGTTCTAAAATGTAATTTGCTAGATTTGGTGACAGTCTTCATATTTAAGCATTTCAAAAGGCTTGTACTGCTCTTCCTCAGGTGTAATTCAGATTGCCCGTTTTAAAACCTTAACTAGCTGGGGAGGGGGGGGAAAGAGGGAGGGAGAGCACTAAAACAACTTTTTTTAATCCTGAAAAACTCGACTGCTAGTATTTGGATAGACTATGGAAACTCAATAACTCAGAAACACTTCATATATGTCAAACTAATAGCTCTGCACCTTATCCACAGTTAAAATCCAAGAAACATAAAAAGCATAAATGCCAGGATAAAACAGCCCAAATCCTTCAATTTACTGTCTTCTGCCCTGGGATTTTATGTCAGTGGGATGAACTACTGGGCTTCAAAGAACTGGACTCTTCTAGGAGATGAGCTGCTGATGAGCTTCTCTTCCTGCATTTGGTTACCAACTTGGTAAAATCCAGATTAAACAAATCTCTGAGAAAAATAAACTGCAAGTAAGAGACTGCTCTGAATTTAGAAGAATGCTCTTGAAGATTAGTATTAAAAGCAGGATTGCCTCCATTTCAAATTGATGCCTGTAACTCCCCTGCCTGTTAGTGATGTGTCATCAGCCCAGAGACATTAATGCTACAGACAGTCCAAGTGGAAGAAATCAGCTTCAAACATGTCCTGTTTTTATTCATCTCAGTACCAGGATGCAATGATAGCTTACACAAACTTCTGTCAGTTAACACTAAAAGAAAATCATTCTGTTACTCACTCTCACAGCAAAAGACCAAACAGTCTTACCAAGAGGCCTCTTGAGCAGGCTCATGGCAAATTTTGCTCGTAATTGTTAAAAAAACAAAAGCAGTAGTCAAATGCTGTCTGACATGATCAGAAAAGGTAGACTGACCATCTGTCTGCTGCCCAAAACAGCCAGAGTGAGTTATTCTGTCAAATATAAAGAAAAATACACTACAAAGTTGATTAAACCCATAGAGTAGCACTGCACTAATAAATGAAAGGCAACCATCCAACCTGCTAACTGTGGATAAATTATTTTATGGAATCTCTCTCTGCTCAGATGATGGGAGCATTGGCAAACTTTCTTTCTAACTGTTCTGGACCTGGCTGGGATAGGGTTCTTTTCTTCACAGCAGCACTATGGTGCTGTTTTAAATTGTGACCAAATCAGTACTTCTGAAAATAAATGTTTTAGTTACTCCTGAACAGCATTTGCACAGCAGCCAGGACCTTTCTGTTTCTCACACTACATCCTCCCCTGCTCCCCATAAACAGGCTGGCGGGTGCACAAGGGTTTGGGAGGGGGCACAACCAGGGAGGCAACACAAGAGATGCCATTTAGTATCATGCTCAGCAACAAAAAGGGAGAAGAGTGGGGTTTCAGTTCAGTTTGCCATCTGTTGTTCAGAACTTGGCTGGGAATTGGTCTGCCCATGACAGGTGATGTGGGGCTGCCTCTGCATCACTTTTTTTGGTTTCTTTCTCTCTTGTTCCACTTCTTAAAACAGCTTTTATTTTGAACCCAAGTTTCTCCTTTTTTTTATTGTTCCACCCCTCATTCCCTATTCCCCTGAGGAGGAACAGCAGGTAAGGAAGGGCCTGTGAGGTGCTTAGGTGTCTACTGGGCTTAACCCCCAGCAACCACCAGCCCTTCACACACAATCTATGGCAGCAAACCACACTATAGGATTGTTGTCAACAAACACTGGGAAGAATTATGGAACATGCAACACTACCCCAAGGTATCAAAATGTTAGCTAGGCAGCAATGCTCATGATCTGCTATCAGCACTTCCAGCCAACTACGAACTTCTCAGTGTCACACTGAGTCTCATTCATAAAGAGAGCTGTACTTCTTACTTATTTCAACTACCATAGTCAACAGCATCTCACATGGTACAGATGCCATAAAACTTTCCAAGGAAAAGAACAAGAAGCTTCTCCTCCAACCATTCTCACCATTTATCATGCCTGGATGACACCCACGTCAGTGTAATATTTGGTTAAATGGAGCTGGTTTTGAACAAACTGCTCTTCAGCACCAACGTCTACTCAAACTGGCTTTCTCATAAAAAAATTTAAAAGCAATACTTCTAAGTTACATCATAATTTTCAAGCTCTCCCTCACATTTGTGATGTCAAACAGGAGGAGACAAAAGAGAAATCCCCCAAACATATGAGATTTATAGTACCAGATATTTTCAGGTTAATAGTTAAAGCTATGAACCATATTTCCACTCCTTTACACCAAGCCACCTACATAGCAGAACAAAACCACTCCAAAAATGAGGATTCTTCCAAGAATGCTGGGTTTAGTTGCAGCTCTTCAGTACAAACCATACCCAGAACACACCCATCACCATGGGTGCACACATTACCTTAGGAGGAATTCTTTTAACATGACAGGTACTGACCCTACTGACAATCCTTTCACCTCAGACAAATAAGAACTAATAACAGACTCTACACCTTTGAAAATCAAGAAGTAAATAGAACTGTGTATAAATTATATTCAGGGTAAAATAAAGTAACAGAATATAGCCAGCACCTTACTACAGGAGCTGTTCTGCTACACACACTAGGTTATGCTCCTTGTTCTGACTGGGGATGCACAGGGTTGACCACTGACACATAATTAAGTATTTACTAATAAAGACAAACTTCACAGTGCCTTCAGGGAACAGACCCACTATCAGCCTAAGTCAAGCCAAAAATCTCCACCCTGACACAGCACTTCAGATCCATGAGTACACTTAAGAGAGACAGCTGGGTAAAATCTTGACTCTTAAAAGTTTCCAGGATTAACCACGGGCTAGAAACTGCACAAACTACTGCTCTACTTTTGAGGTCCAGTTTCTACAGCCAGCCCCACATAAGCAGTCATCTATCTCTTCTCACACCTGAGCTGCATACAAAAGGAGAAGCAATATAAATGTTCAGCTTCAATGCTCTCCTACCAATGGAAAGATAGACACGATCCTCAGGATCCTGCCTTGAATCTTCAATGATGCAACCAAAGATTAGGTTGAAAAATAAAAGTTGTACATTTCTCATTTAATTACTTTGCACACCTTCCAGTATGCATCTCTAATCTGCAAAGACATTATAATGGTTTTACACTGTACAGCAGTTTACTTGCAGATTGATACAGTGGAAAAAAGTGGTGACATGTTAACTGTGCTGTAAAGGAGGTGGCAAGGAGCATTTTAATTTTATCTGAAAATCTGTCAGGACAGTTCTGTCATCATAAACCTAGCTCCCTTCCTTTTTCATAGTACCGCATTCAATGCAATGTGAAAACCTCCAGTTGAAGAGGATTAATACTGACATTTGAATTTTTCCAATGTATAAGTAGTATCAGCTTTAATAACAGCCATACACGTCATCCTTTATGTTGTATGACATCTAGAACAAATTTAGAGAACCTTTGTTCTCCCAACTGTTCAACACACCCGTGGAGGGAGAAAAGTAGGGATGCAAAATACTTAAGAGGAGCACAGAGAGTCGTTAGAACAAGGGCAAGAAGAAAGGCAGCGTTTCTTAAACCATGGCTACTGTTTAGATTAATAGGAAGAGACCGGATAACTGGAACGGAAAATGGCTCCTTCAGCGACCTTTAGTGTGCACAGAGCCATCCCCGAGAATGAACCTTGAAAATGGATATGCTCAAAATATTCATCAAGGAAACAGGGAGCAGGCAGCTGACAGCCACTTGAGAGAGAAGCAATGTCTATGGTAAGACTTACAATTCTGGGCTTTTTAGATCAGTTTGACCTCAATTTGCATCTCCTTATCATTCTATTCCTTTAATTAGATTAAAGTGTCTTTCATGGCACACTGTAGGTGTTACAGTCTGGCTTCTTTAAACACATTTGAAATGTTAATTAAAAATGCTAAGAGCTATGCACAGTAATGAAAATGTATAGAACCATGAGATTGATGAAATTCATCTGGAAGAAACATTTAATGTAGCGACAAAATCCTGAGCAACTGTCAAATACCTCTTTTCTGTCAACACTCACTTAACAAAAGCTTTAGATGATCTTTACTAGAGAAAAACTATTCTTAGCTGTTTAAAAATGACAGCAGAACAGCCTGATCCCCCTCTAATGGGAGATAAGTCTTCCAGCATCTCAATGGCCTGAAAGTTTAGTTTGATGATAAAAGCAACATAGTTATTTTTAGCACTCTACGGGCATAAAAATACAGCTCTAAACTGTGACCTACAGCTATGCACAGCCAAGCATCACATCATACGACAGCCTTAACTTTAGCTACAAGCACGTCTGTAGTTGCTTCAGACTATCATTATTCATCTCACTACCAACAATACATTTGGATGGATTTAGCAACAAGCATTTGAAATTGTTACCATCTTTTTTTCAAAATTGCTGCCATCGGCAGAACTCAATTCAAAGGTAGGAGATCTTAATGGACTTGGTAGAAAGTATTTGAGAGACTATGTTAGGTTAAATGGATTACTGCTTCTCTCCAGTACAGAGGATGAAAAAGAACCTTAAAAGCAGAAAAACTTAAACTGTCATATTCAGTACAGAAAGTCATTTTTTCTGGGCACAGTTTGAGTAAATGAAAAAAAAAAGAAAATAGGAAAAAGAGGAAAAAAACCCCTTGTTTTCTTCCAGCAGTACTAAGAACCTGCAAACGGGATATGCTAGAATAAGAGACCTTCAAGCAAACTCACCTGAAACAACACTGTTCACAGACAACTGCAAAGGTAATTTATGTTATTTTACTCCAATTTGCATGCTCGTGTGTGCATGATTTGTTAGTGCAAATTAGAAGTCTATTCTACCAGATTTCTGTCTCCAGATTATGTGAACAATAATTAAAATAGTTAAAATAAAAACTGATACATAAGTTGTAAAACCAGATCAAACAGAGTTCTAGCACTTAACTACTAATTAATTAATTTAATTCTTAAATATATGTGTAAGTTCAAATTTTTGAGGTTTGGGGGTTTGTGTTTTGTTGGGAGGGAGTATTCTTTTTTAGCTGGGTTTTTTGTGGGGTTTGAGGGGTTTTTTGTTAGCTTGCATGACACGGTTTAGGGGTTTCTTCCCTCTTTGTTCTTCAAATCATGTATAGTATGGATAAAATATGAAATATTTCCCAGGTGACAGATATGTACTTTCAAATGCTGTAAATTTCACAGAGGATGTTAACTAATAAAAGGGACAGGAAATATTGTAAGGTGCAAGACTTGTCATATTTCATTATGGCCTGGTGACTTTGTACAGCAAACTATTCTAATCATTAATAAAGTTTCACTCAAACATTCAGTTCGTAAGAATGAAGTCTACAGGTAAAAAGAACTAACCAGTTAGACAGACACAAGCATAATTAATATTCTTCCTCTCCCCAGCTTGAAAATGCCACTTTTTGGCTGGATGAAATGGTCAAAAACTGATTCCTACAAATCCGCAAGATGTCCTGGATCAGAAGTAGTTACAAAAACCCTACTGAGGGAGTTGAAATGGCACCTGAAAGAGCGTGAAAGATTAGTGCAAGAGATTGAAAACGAACAAAAAGTCCAGAAAACTGGCATGGATTACAACTGGCTCAAGAACTACCAAAACCCTCAAGCAACAATTCCAGCTACTGAGCAACGGCAGCTTGAAGTTCTGTGCTCTCAAATCCAGCCTTGCCAAACAGGAACTGTTCTGAGCAGGTAATTGTTTTGTATTTCCCTGACTCCGAGTTCTCTATCACAAGTAAGATTTCCCCTGCCTAACCAAAGTTTGCATTTGGCTCTGCTCTTCCAAAGTAGCAATGACCAGCAACTGGAGAGCATTTTTACAGTTGTTTTAGAAATTACATCTTCACTTTAATATGCTGCACTTGAAGGAAGTTTTGAATCAGGATTTTCCTGGTCTAATCCAAACAAAGGAAATCTCAGATGACCTTTCAATACTTCCCATTTTTCCTGTTATTTATCCCTACTATTTATTAAATAGCAACCCAGTAACTAAAAATCAAATAAAAGGACTAATGTAATGCACTATTATGCAGAAATCCAGCCTTACTGTCTACAATACCAGAAAGCTCCTAAAAACTTGAAAATCAGTGTAAATTAAAAAAAAAAATTTAAAAAAATCCCTCCACGCATTTTATGAAGAAAAATTCTCCTATGCCTGCATTTTAAGTACATTTTCTAGGGACTCAGAAACGACAGAACAAGTCCATTTGCCTTTTAAAGCCCAGAATACACCTAAGGGCAAAGTCAGTTTAAATCAAGTTACCCAGATGGGCCAAAGAAAAAAAAAAAAAAAAGAAAAAAAAAGCCTACCCAATTACAACTGCTTTCAATCCACAATAGCTGGAGCACATCCAGTGCATTGTTAGAGCTCTTTTCCTCTTACAATCTTCTGGGGGAGGTGAGTGGGGAAATGCGGCAACAAGGAAAAAATGACACTAGAACTCAAGTCATTTCCTCCTCCCCCAGCCCCAAATGACCACAGAGGAAAGAGAAAAGTTTTCTCTGCCAATGATTAGATTTCGATTTTTGTTTTTTTCTAGATTTCGGGAAGTTTTGGCAGAAAATGATGTTTTACCGTGGGAAATAGTCTACATATTCAAGCAAGTTTTAAAAGATTTTCTTACCACCATTGAGAGAGAAAACCAAGCAGAGCAGCTGGTAGATGCATGGAATACAAATTGCCCTGAACATTTTAGTCTGCGTGGTGACAGCTCCAACAAGTCGGACAAAGATGAAATCCCCACGGTTTCAAGTTATGTCGACAAAAACACACAAAGCATGTTTCCCACCTTCTCTCACAGAATCTGGAATCTACCCTATTACTACCCATCAAGTTAAATTGGTTTGTGTTACTTTCAAAAAGTCATGTAGCCATCTGCATTCCTTTCTTGTAATTGCCATCCAGACACACAGGAGTAAATGTGACATGCTCCCCTTTTTATTCCAAGTTTAGAAATTAAAATACTTTGTAATAGCTAGTATGCAGTATCTTAGGTACCAACTCACCTTTTATCTTTATAGTTTCTTAGAACTGTTGTGTTTGAAGCCATCTTTTAATCAAAAATGTAGATGTTTTTGAAAAAAACTCTGAGGCAGTTTAATTTTCAGCCATATAGAGCTATAAGTATTTAAACAAAAAAAAAGATTGCTTTGCTTATTTTGAAACAGCATCAATCCACAGAGTGTTAGACAAAAACTTCTGTGTTTATCACATAGCTTTTAGGCTCTATGGGAACTTTATACTGTGTAAAATAAATGGTTTAATATAACATCAGCTAAATAAACTGGTAAATACTTTTGGAGCTCAATAATTATTTCTTAACTTCAAGAATAATTGCATGAAAATACTCACATGTACTATTTTTATGTTTTTCTCTGAACTATACTCTGCACATGCTGAAGTATGTGAAGGTGGACAGCTAAGCAAAACCACTAGATATTTAACGGCATTTAACACTAGCTTTCTATTCTTTAAGAAATATTGTATTGTTTAATTTTAAATAGCTGTTTTTCATTTGACTTACTTGCTCTGAAACCCAAATTCTGCATTAAACCTTTATCATTTTGATCAAATCAGATGGTACCTCTCTAGAATAGCCAAGGAGTCAACAGATCATTTCCAACACACAAGGTGTTCATTCTAAATTTACACACAACAAAATCTAATGTTTCTCAGCCACCGTGATCTATCACTGTGGGTTCACAAAGTTTTACAAGAATTAATCACATGCATAGCAGTCACGGTCACAGCAGGCAATTAGAGCAGAAAATCAATGAAAACATATGCCAGAACTCAGTTGGCTACATTTCCAATTGTGCTTCCATCACTGTAACAAGTTTTTACATGTTTCATATAACATACAACATTTCATATAACATGTCATCTCTGTGTTTGCTTTTATCTGTCTGCTGGATCAGAAAAAAATGGGCAAGACTCATATGGCTCAATTCACAGAATACACTACTGCTTCCTCTGGTATTTTCTTCAAACATAGTGAAGAAGCCAATGAGATTTCATCAAGTTGGTAACACAGCTTTAAGGCATCTTATGCTCCACAGCTGTATCCCCCATTCCAGAAAAAATTTACTAATAATGCAACATAAATTGGAGGAATAAATGGCACAATAATTTACTAAACACTTTTAAATCTTTCTAAAAATGGCTTTTAAAAGTATTTGAAAAGCTTATGATATAGAGAACATTTCACGTAGAAAAAATAAAACATAATAGTCACAGAAGACAAATCAATGAGAACTCCTATATCCACACAAAGGACAAAGCACTGGAGGACTACAGCAAAAAATTTCCAACAGGTTTAAAATAATAAAAGCTGTAGCTCAATACCAAAAGTAACTAGTCCCTCCACCTCCCATAAACTAAATACACAATGCTTCCAAGTACATGCAAGCTTCTTATATCTGCACTCAGAGCTGCTATAAACTCTTTGCCCTCTTCTTGTCAGTTTGTGGATTAATGTTCTGAACTTACACTGCCCTACTGATGCAGCACATGGAGTTGCAGATTCTTCTCCTGCAATTCTAATCTAATCCCTGCATGAGGGTAGCATGAGATTCAAAGAAAGATTTTTCCATAGTGATAAAACTCTCACAAGTGTTAAATATCAAGTACCTTTCCTACAGGAAGGTGGGTACTGAGTATTCAAAAGGCATTGGCTGGATTAATATTAGTCTGAGAATTAACATTCATAATGCTGGTTTCAGATAGCTTTGAAGTGGTCAAATGTGCAAGATACCTGCAATGGCAATTCATGCAACTTTATTTCTAAAAATGGTATTCTCACAGTGTGCTATCTGAAAAATAATTTCAGGTAAAAAACCTCTAAAAATGCAGCTTCCAAATTTTCACTTATGGAAAATGGAAGGCCAGTAACACGGAAGATCCGCTTTCCTTAACAATCACCAAAAATGAGTAGGGAAAACAAACAAACAACAAGATAACCCCAGATACAACTTTCCCACGCTTTGCAAACTTCAATTTCACTTTAATATGAGCAAATGCATTTTTCCAAGTTTAGAAAGAGGGACCATCAACTATGCCATATTCTGAAAGGCAGTTGCTGCACAATAGTTTAAAAGTATAGGCAGGCATCATAGCCAACTCAGTGTTAAATCCATATACAGTGCCAGAGAAATGCACAGAAATGCTCACCTACTTTTATATGCATGCTTTAATCAGATTACTGCATCCAGTTCTAATGTCCACATCTGGGGGAAGGGAGAAGGAGAAAGCAAAGAAGAACTGTAGAAGGTAGAGATAAAAAAATATCCAAAGGCTGAGAAAATGCCATCCTCTAAGGACTCACTTTGGCCATTTTTTCAAATACTGAAATGTGGGGTAACTTTATGGAGTACAATCACTTCCTCCTGACTAAATTGTTATATACTCTCTTTAGTTAAAAAGCAGAGAAAAGCATAGGGAAAGCAATGGGGTAAGGGCAAGAAGCCAAACTAAAAATGTTAAATATATTTCAAAGAAATTTGTTAGATTTTCCGCAATATGCTGCCAAGAAAATTTGTTCTCCAACTCACCAGCTGACACAAGCCGTTTGCTGGAGTTGTGCTTACCCTTAGAACTCAGCTACCTCAGACAGGAGTAAGACTGCTGGAAGACCAGTCACCACTACCCTGTGGCAGATCACTGTTCAAGCAACTGCTTCTTTAAGTATTTTATATTTATGCCCTGCACAGTTTGCATGAGGTGCTCTAAAACTACATTGTCCCTTACACTGGTAAGGGACAGGTATTGCTGCAACAGGCAAGCAGCCAACACAAACCACTCTGGTGACAGAAAGGTGAGTGGCAGTAATTCCAAAGGACAGCAGTGTCTCCCACCTGCACAAGCATCCAGCAAAGCAAACAACATGCAGTATTTCCAGCCAGCAAGTCAGCTTCAAAAAGGTGCTGACTTGGTGAAAGGCACTTCTATGAAATGCAGGAAATAAAAGAGATAATAAGCACATTTTACACACTTAAGCCGTTTACTGACTTAATGTGAACACAATTTTGTTTATACCAAGGAAGGATTTAAGGGTCTAAATTTACTTTCAGTTAAACATAATAAAAGGAATTAAAAAGTTAATCAATGAGCTGTTTAAGGACAGAAATTCCAACCAGATTTTATGCAGTTTCTATTTCTAACTACTTTTCCCCAACAACCTCAATTACTAATCCTGCTATTCTAAAGGTAATTCAGGAAGCAAAAGAATCTTAAAAAGCCTTGGAAAATGAGGCGTCACTGGTAAAGGAAGCAAACACATTCCCTATCTCTTTTCAAGGCAAACATGAGACCTTTAGATCCCATTAACATTTTTGTAAAGTATTATTACACACAGCTGTGGGCAATAACACACCTGTTATTACCAATTTGGTATCAAACCCACATGTTCTTACATATAAATTTAGACAAAAGTGGTAGGCAGACAAGCGTCCATCAGTAACTGTATATCCACCTTCAAAGAAACATAAACAAGCATTTCAGAAATCTGAATAACTTTGGCTCTGACTTTCCCAAGAAACAAAAAAAGAATTTTGAAGGAAATAAGACAATTATGCTAGAAGCAGCCTCAACAAATGAGGAGAAATTATTTTGTTTTCAGCGCCTCAAACTCCTTCTGAAGAAGTCAGTGAATAAAATACAAGCATTTCGTTGGAAATGCTTGAATCTAAACCTCCTATAGAGACTTTAAGTTTTGTAAAAAACACTCCAAATGTAAGCACACTCCCAGCAATTATTTGTCTTAGAAGCAGCCTCAACAAATGAGGAGAAATTATTTTGTTTTCAGCGCCTCAAACTCTTTCTGAAGAAGTCAGTGAATAAAATACAAGCATTTCGTTGGAAATGCTTGAATCTAAACCTCCTATAGAGACTTTAAGTTTTGTAAAAAACACTCCAAATGTAAGCACACTCCCAGAGCTGTGAAACAGAAGTATGCATGGAAACAAAACACACCTAAGCAAACACAGCTTCTCATACAGATTCCTTCCATTTTGTGGCAGGACAGACATGCACCTACCATCTATGCTCAAAGGTTTTACAGCTACTGTTAAGAAATTCTGTCCACGATTACCTAAATGGTCATTTAAGATGCATATTACTTCTGTCCCCCTCAGACATGGGGAAAAAAAAATTATAAAACCAAACCTGTAAAAATAATTTTTCCCTGCTAACACAGCTGTCAAACTCACAGTCAGGTTATCTGCTAAGACTTGTGAGTGCAAAGAGCTTTCTGTCCAACCAAACATAAAGACGTGCTTCTGCCTACTCACATAAGGCTTGATCAGTCTTGCTCATTTCTCCTGTGTACAGGAATACACAAAATAGATCTTGTGGCTTAGTATTCACTTGGGTTAAAGAGTCAAACACTTCATAAATACTATAGATATGTCACTATCACCTAAATAAAGACTGAGAAGTCACAAACATCTTGTTCATACTGGGTTGAGGCATCACATTCACAGAAATAACTTAAAAGAAGCGCAAAATCTTTCCGGTCACTAGTGGAAAATTTTAACTACTTGCAAAAAGCCCAGTAGCTCTTGGTCAGCGATACAGAAATAACTTAAAAGAAGTGTAAAATCTTGTCTGGTCACTTGTGAAAAATTTTAACTACTTGCAAAAAGCCCAGTAGCTCTTAGTCAGCGATTCAGAGCACTGAAAGATAAAAAAGGAATAGATATTTTGAGGTACCAGTTTTGTCCTTCATTTGAAGCAAAGACAGAAACACTGATAGCCTGAACAGTCTCTGCTGAAATATCAGACTACCTGATAGCAAGCTGTTACACAAAAAGTTCATTCTTTCTCAGGTGCCAATGTCCACCTTTTAAGATAAAAACACCTCCCTGAAATACAGCAGCCTCTATTGCTGTGCAACACACAGGGAAAAATAAAACTCGAAACACTCACTCTGGAGTGTATGCCCAGCTCATCTTGAAAAATACTACATGGAAGTGTATACAAAACACTTTTCTACAGCAACCACAGACACACCACCACACCTTGTCTAAACACCAAGATTGGTATGCACTGCCACAGTCCACGCAGCATCCAGGGGAAAGTAGTTTTTTGGATTTCAATCCAAAAACTGCAGACTCCAGTGAAAAGCAAATATACCTGGCTACTATGCAAACACACAAACACTTCTCGTTGCCTGTAAACTCTGCCATCTGAGAATAATGCCTAAGAACAATATGTCAATATACCTCTGACTTGCTTTACTCTGGTAACTTAAACGCTTCCTTCAGTCACGACAGCAATAAATTCATGAACCTCATTTATCACTTGCCACTGATAAAAATGTGAAGTAAATGCACCTGAATCAGAATAAACTAAGTCTTTTCTAGTCCAGTTCTACAGTTTTTCAACAGGACTAGGTACAGTTGCACACCAGTGCTAATGGAGAGAAAGCAAACCCTACACGCAACACATCTAGCGATGGAGACAACGGACCTAAGCAGCAAATCAGAAAACATTAAATATTAAAAGCATAAAAACTCATCAGCCACAAACGCTACCGGGGGTGTTAGGCTGGAACCCAACAACTGCACAGCCTGGGCTCTCCAGAGCAGGGGAGCCAAAGGAGGCTGCCCTGGCTCTGGGGAATGCCCAGGGCACACAGCAGAGGGGAGAGAGGGAGGCCATCAAGAGCAGCGGCCCAGCGCCCGCACTCACCCCGTCAGCGGCTGCTGCGTGGGAGGGCGGGGAGAAGCGCCAGGGCGGCCGACCCGCGCCTCCTCGCCCAGGAGCTCGACGGCAGTGACGGCCCCGCCGACGGTGAACCAGTCCCGGCTCTGGCCCTCGGTGAGTTTCCGCAGCATGGCGCGGATGGCGGCCCCGGCACGCGGTCCGGCGCCGCCGCCCTTCCCGGCACGGGCACGCCCTCCCACCCCGCCCCGCCCCGGCGGGAGCGCTCCCGCCGGCCGTCCGCCTTCCCTTCACACCGGTCACCTGGAGATGCCGACCCCGTTCCTCTAAACCGACCCCTAAAATTTATTACCGCCTTCCTTAGAAAGGCAGGACATACAGACGCAGACCAGAAGTATATGAAGGGTCTAACACTAAGGTCTGTCATCACTGCTGGGTAAATTTCAAAAGAATAGGAACGAAGATAAATGTGTCTGTTGAACTTCCCTTTCATCCTGTCATCCTCTCTTCTGAAATAACTGCAAACATCTGCGTGTAATTTGTTAAATCAGATAAATAATGAAAACCAATATGAACACAGGGTAGACCCTTACTTTCTCTAATAGGATTTATCATCTCCACACTGACTACCTGACTCAGTGCAGACACTTGGCTGCTTTAGAGTTGTTACTGTCACATAAATACAAATCTAGGCTATATGTACACACCACCTCTGGTTGCTTAATGTATCAGCCTCAAAATCCTAAATTAAAGAAAGAATGGGATTTTCCTCACTAAATTTTCAAGAGGTTTTTAAAGTTTTGAATGAAAGAGGCGATGTACATGCAATATTTTGAAATAAGTTATGGTTCTATATGAAATGCAAAAAACGCCCATGTAAGATCCAAACAGTCTTGTTTGCCCTGTGTGACAAAGCTCATATATAGGAAATCTATACACCTGCAGATTATGTAAATCACTCACAGGGAAAATAAATGCAGTCTGTGATCCCACTAAAGCATTTTGACACACAATAAAGGTCTGAGCTCTGCTTTCCTTCCACAGCCTCGGGAGGCCTGGGCAGTCATTCCCCCCTCACCCCACAGAACAATGCCTGAGCACAGCTCTGGAATTCCAGCCACCCTGTCCTCCCGCACCTGGAGGAAACGGCCTGCAGAGCACATAGTGCTTCAGACTTCATAAATATGGCCCAGCGGGTGCCTCCCACTCCTCCAGGACAAGCTGTTCCCTAAGGGACAGAGGGAACTGCATGGACTGTGACAGGCCCTTCCCGGCATTGTCCTGGCACGGGACCGGGACCGGCTGCTTTTGTTCTTGGGAAGCAGGACTGAGGGGAAGATCGACACTGGAAGAGCATTGCCAGCACCCGGCTGGGTACTGGCGGGCACCGCTCGGGGGTGTCTCGGGTGGGGGCAGCGCTGGTTCAGCTGGGAAGGGAAGAAGGGCGAAAGGGAGCGCGGCCCGCGGCGCTGGAGCTCTGCCGTTGTTGCCCTGCCCCGCCGTGCAGCCGCTCGGGCTCGGGCAGTGCCCCGGGTTGTGGCGGGGAGGTCACGGAGACAGCAAACACAGCGTTGGTCCGGGTAGATATCAGGAAAAAAAACCTCAGAACGAGACTGTTGAGTGTGCACAGGACATGGGGTATCTCAGTGCAGTGTGGTGCAAATGTGATCTAACCTTTATGTGAGTTAGTATTCTAAGCTTTATTTTAAAAGCTCCTACAATTTTCTCTTTGTCTTACAAAGCTGCATGGAAGGGAAAAAACTGCCAACACTGACAGGCTTCTTGCTCATGGGGCATATTTTGAAAGTCAAATAGTCATGATAAAACATGAATTCATTAGCTTAACATCATTTATGTTGCTATTTTGAGTAGAAATTACCATGCTGGAAGAGACAGCTGCGAGGGTGGGAAGCTAAATTGGTAGTGCAAGGAAGGAGCCTCTCTGGCTTGTCTGGAATGAGACTTCCTCCTGAGGGAATCTGGAAACTTTAGGAAAAAGCTGTTACTGATAGGCAGAGAGAAGTTTATCTGTTGCTGCTCTGTAAATGTTCTGTTCACTCATCTTTTAACCCTTTCCTCAGTAGTAATTTTAATTTTTTTGTGTGGTAGCCCATAAATTGTACACCTTAACTCTGAATTTTCATTTCTTTGCTTTGGAATAATACATCTGCATGCTTGGGGATTTTTTTTAACTTGTAAACTGCTGCTAATATGCATTATGAGTGTGTGTGTATACATAAAGATAGATGAATATATGTATGTGTGATTTTATGTGTGTTAAAAATCCAACAGGTAAGAATACAGCTGCAAAAGTTAAAATGACAACACTTTTTATAAATTTCAGATGGTGCAGGCTATGATTCCAAAGGCATTGAAACCCATGAAATTCTACTTCTCTACTGTGTATCAAGAAATATGGGTTGGTGTAGCATTAACAGCTTATGCCTACTACAAGATTTCCTATGGGGGTAAGTCACACATTATAGTCTTTTTTTATACAAAATAATACCCACAACAGGAATCAGTCATTGAAAATAGCCAGCAAGTAAGAAATTAACATTCTTCCTTAGGGTTAGGTCTTTGCTATAAAAATTTAGGTGTTTTAAATGCTGATTGTAGATGGTTCCACTAACAAAAATACTCAAATGTCAATGTAACTGTGCTTACATTATGAAGATTAGGTAATGTAGTATTGGTTTTTAAAATGCAGATCCAACTTACTTGCTCGAGATTTTGAAAAAAAAAGTTGTTTAAAAAAGGTTTTCTCACATGAACATGTGGAAGTGTATTTTGGGCTGATGGCTTCTCAAAATGAGAGCAACATCACTGAACATGAGACTGTGTGTTACTTGGTGACACTGATGACTTTCTCAGAGAAAGAAACAGGATATCTAAAGTAAAAATAATAAATTTGAATGGGCCAGGTTCCTTAAAGCAGAAGGCTACAAGAGATTATAGGGTTTTAAAGGTCCTTTTTGTCAGTTTGCTCAATAAATCCCAAGTCAAACCCTTTACTGGGTGTTGTGAGTGAAGTGTTGCAAGTCAGATAAAGGAACCCCTGTGGGAGCAGCTGGGAGATACTACCTCAGTATTTCTCTAGCTTTGTCCAAATCATGTGTAGCATTCCAAAGCTGATACACTGCACTTCAAACTTTAAGTAAATAGAAGTAGTTGATCTTAATGGGTATTTAATGACTGTTGAGTAAATATGAGTAGTTGAGATAGACAGGAAGAAAAAATAAATTTTTACTTTTAATTTAACCTTTTATTTCAAGAAGTGTACAAAATGGGCAGACTGTTTTAAACTTGTCTTCATGTTATGCTATATTAATTCATGACCTGGTGTAGATTTTCAAGGGCCAAAAAACCTGGAAAAATGGCAACTGTATGCTAAGCTTTATTTGAAAGGGAAAATAGTTTTTAATAGCTGTAGCCCTTTCTGCACTTTGGGGGATAATTTTGCAAATAATATATGGAATATAATATATATATATATATATAATAATATATGGAATTGCAGAAGAGAATGTTGTAGGAGACATCAGATTGGAAGGGATCAAACCAGTGCTTGAAGCACTTAGATCCCAGTTAGATCAGGTTGCTTATTACCTTATTCATAATTTAAGTGAGTATTTCCAAGGATGCAGAGTGTACATTCTTTTATAAAAGTCTTCCATATGAAGAATTTTTTTTCATCATTGTGACCCAGTGTTTAGGAGAACAATTACAATATACTCATATATTATGTAAAATAGTAACATTCCATAAAAGTTTCTTTTGAATTATAATATAAATCTTGATGACTATAATTTCTAAATGCATGGAGTGTTGGTTAATTAAAAACAAACAACTTTTAAAAATCAATATAAAGTTTGTAGTAACATACCATGGAAAGTACACGTTGTACACTTCCAATTTTTGTTTAAGCTAATAATAAGCTAATTAAAATTTATATGTAAAAAGTAAATAGGAAATACATTTTTAACTGCCATTGTTCAGCTTATTTTTTTTTCTCCTTTTTTTCCCCAGGCAAAAAGTCATCAGGAAGTAGTAAGTATTAGATATCTAATACCTTGATAAAATTTTTAAATAAGTACAGTAAAAATTAGTTCAGAATATTTTACATTAGATAAGTGCGGGGCTTAAGTTCTAGATTTAGCAAATGTTTAAAGACTACTTCAAAATAAGTAATGTTGGTTGTATTGATCATTTTATAACCTAGAAACAACTGTGGATCTGCACATAAATAATCTTCTCTGTAGGTTTTAGGAGTAAAATGAAAATTCTGTACCTTGACTGTGTGGGCAAAGAATTTTTTTCAAATAATAGCAACAACCATTTAATGGAATTACTTAAATAGGCACAGTTTCAAGAGTACCTGCTATTTTAGCTACCAAGAAACTAGAAAGTATAAACTTGTGTTTTGAATTTGTATCTTTATAAAGGAGTGTTTAGATATTTATGGACAGTTTGTTCTGACATCACACTGGAATTTATTTTTTCATGACCTGCTGTATCTCAGTTCACTTTGTGCACCATGAGAGAGAACCCATTTGCTCACAGTTGAATCTGTACATGCAAACATTACTTACATTTTGAAATGTGCTATAAGAGAAAATACTGCCTAGTACTAGACTTGGAATAATAGTGTAAATAAACTTCAGTTCTGGAAGAACCATAATAAAACCAAGGAAGAATGGGTTTTTGACTGTAATAGGGCTTTAAAATTTGCAAAAGAGAAATTTTAATATTTGCTAAATTTACTTATGTACATATTCTGAGGGTATTGTTTCATTTGAATAGCCAATTCTTGTGCTCAGATGTAAGTACAGTTGTCAGTTCTAGGACCTGCACTACATTCCTGAATTGATTTGCTTTACTGTTTGAACAGCCTAAATTGTGTCTTTGTTTCAGAGTCCTCTGGTTCTGGCCATCATTAAAGATCTCTTCTCTTCTTGGAATATGAATTTGGTGGTTCATCATTTCTGCTGCAAATGAAGGGAGTTACAACCATAGGGAAATGGTTGTAGGACTAGAACTGTACCTGATCCATCTGCTGTAATTGGAAAAAGAATAAATACATTGAGCAAAAAGTAATTAAAGATGTTGGACAATAAATGCTGGAGTGCAGTGCTAACCTAATTTTTTTAGAATAAGCGTCTACAATTCTAAGTACCATGTAACTTTTTCAACAGTACTTTAAGAGAGACTGAATCTTTATAACTAAACTTCTTAATAGAATTAGATTCCTTTCCCTCTCCCACTAATAATAGCTTTTTTGGCTATTTACTTTAAAAATGTCATTTAATGGGATGCCAAGTATGAGGCCTTTTGTCAGCTTGTGGTGCAGTAATCAAGGGTACCAAAAATTATATTTTAACTCTTATATTTTTTGAAGAGCTCTTAGTTCTGCAGCGTTTAAAAGCAAAAGTTGCATTGTTATGAAAACACCATGCAAAACGTTTACAGATATTTTTTTAAAGTACATGATTCACAACTTTATTTTTTTGTCCTTCATATACAGTAGAGCTAAGGAATTATTCTGAAAGGCTTTTCCTTTAGTCACAAATTTTGCAAAGGAATAAGTAATAACATGCCAATATTGTATAAGAAAATTGATATTACATGGACGTCCATTTGCCATTGGAGCTTACCTCAGAAAACCTCAGAATTTAAAGGGAATAATGAAACCACACACTGGCAGCAGTTGGTGTGAGCACAAACATTTAACTGGCTTCAAAGAGTTTTCCTTTTTCCTGAAAAGGTAGAAGTAATACTTGTGTTATTAGGATGGATATTAGTGTTTTTTGCAGATAGCTGTTAGAACTCCATAGCAAGTGTATTTTGGAGGCTGTAGGAACATATGCTATCCTATGAAAATCAGTATTCAGAACTGTGCATACTGAACTCTGTTCCAAGGATACATAGTGTGTAAAACCAAAACTGGACTTCATGTCATGTTTTGTTTAAATTTAGCCTAATCTGCCTTTGAGAAGATTAAGAGGCTTAAGTCATTTTAATGACTTAATGCTTACGTACATCTTTTTAACTACTTCACTGAAACATCTTAAATCTTTCAGCTTGATTAAAGTTTTGCTTTTCAATCTCCTGACTGCAGTATCTGGCCATAGCTTAAATGTTTTGTATTCAAACACTCAGGAACTTGATAACCTTACCTGCTGATAGTAAACATTCCAAACACTGTTGCCTTTAATTTCTTCAAAATTTATACTTATGCTTAATAGCTGTACCTACTGAGTAAAATCTGCAGTCTTATTTGAAAGCTTTTTTTTACAAAAGACAGGTTTACCATCACTGATTTGAAAAAGTGACAGCTGTCCTTCATGTATTTTTGATATTTATTCCATCTTCCACAGTTTTCTTTGTTACACCTTTCCTTGATCTGTTTTAGCTGATTTCTTTAATAATTTCTATATGGGTTTTTCTGTTTCCTCACCACAGAAAAATGAATGAGAAATCTAAAGAACTCCTATATATATTTTTTTACATAAAATCAAAAGCATCCAACAGAAAGGAATAGAGAATAAAAACTAGAAGAAAATGGAACTTAAATGAACAGATATTAAGCCAGTAGTAATTACAGGGTGAATGAGTTGTGGTATACTTAATAAGCAGTTCAGATTGAAAATTTATGCCAAGTTAGGAGCTATAAGAGCATTTGTAATGCAAATTTATGATCACTAAGTTATAGTTCCTAAGATACCACACATACTTCAAATGACCTGCTTTAGGAATTTTCAATTACAGAGCTCAGGCAAACATATCAGGAAAAAAATATTAATCACTGCAGGATTTACTTTACCTTAGCCAGACCATTGTCACTGAGGTACCTCAGCATGCTCTTCTGATCTCCTGGGTTGGAAGGCAAGAAGAGCTTCTGCTGACCTGCCCTTGGAGCACACTTCACTGCACTTCTAGGTAAACCTCACTTGCTTCAAGTCTTAACACTTCTATGTGATTGCTTTATTTTCTAGTAAGGAAAGAAAGTACATATGGGCAGCAGTGTCTGAGTTACAAAAATTAAAATTTCTACTGAAAAAAATGCCACATGCAACTGGTTCTTCCATTGGTGCTTCTCTGTCAGGAATTTCTATGAAGGCTACAGAATATTCCTTCCTTTGTGATCCTTAATACAAAGACAAGAGGAAGTAAGACTGGTGTTTATGTTTGAATAGATGTTTTGTTTTGGTTTTTTAATTGAGTAGCACACAGAAGGAAGAAATTCAGTCAGTGGCTTGACTCGAAAGCAGAAATCAACACACCCATAACATGTAAACTGTAGTACTATCTATACTTCCTGCTTCTCTGTGCTGAAGTAATGTAAAACACAATAGAGGAAAGCAAACTAAGGCATTGTAAGAGCCATTTCATATCTACAATGAGGTGTGGAAAGAGTAATCAATTTTCATTGCAGCACTAGACCTGGAGCATAGCCCTAGGTACACAAACATTTCAAGGAGTACCCACCCTTGAAGTGAATACTCTTTATTTTAGAATATGTGCCTTTATTCTTTTTTTAGTAATTTTGCTAAGTTGATTTCCAAAGCTAACTTAAAACAAAAATATTTTCTTGTTACAGGTAAGTGTCTAAACAGACAGTGCTCAGCTCTTGAACAAACTCATTTGCTATGCAAATGACTATGTAAGATCAGGACATTAATCCATGGATGTAATACTCATCGTGATTCACAACTAAACTGTGGTGAGGGATATGCTTACTGCACATTGATGGATCATGTTGCTTTCCTTCAGCTGCTGCCTCTTTATATTGCTGACATTTCTAAAACAGGATTGCATTTAAACTTTATGGAGTAAAATAGTTAAGCAACTGCATTCTTAATTTGTTGCCTGTGATGAGGCAGTGACAAAACCTGTTCACTACCTTTACCATGTTAGTGAAACAACAAACATCTTCAGGTGTTGAAGAACCTCATCCAATTACTGCAGCATCCTTTTCACTAAGTTTTGTTGTGGCACTGGTAACTTTTTTTTTATAATCAATACAGAACATGAAAGCTCAGCAGTAGATAACTGTATTCATGATGACAATGCTAATGCAACATGTCTTTTTATAGTACAAGTACTTCTGGTTTTGCCCCTCCATGCTGGGTCTTGGTTGCAACATTTTGGAGCTTGGAAATTTCTAGAACATTTCAAGTTCTGTCCTACAATTAGGAATCTCAGAATTTCTCCTGCCTGCTAATAAAGTATGATAGAATACTCTAGGGGAGCAGCAAAATAAAGTCAGAGCCAAGGAAACATTAGTCACAAGGCCCAACCTACTTAACCTCCTTAATGGCTAACTTGGAAAAAACCCAAATGTGTATTCATGTTAATTGGGAGGATGAGTAAAGCTGCAGGAAATGATCCAAAGTAACTAAAACAGCTGAACAAGTCTCCTGTTTATCTGAATCATGATAGCAATCCAGTGTTTGTAGTACAAAGAGCTGGTAGATTCAGAGCTGGTATGTTGGTGTGTCTTGTGCTTTCAGTCCTTAAGGAAGGAACAGAATCAGGTGCTTGTTAGACACAGGTGCTTGTGTGTGACATCATCACCAGCTGGCTGAACTGAAACAGAGGAAATCAATGTGTGAAACTTCCATTGTTTCATTCAAAGAAATATGTGAAGTTACTGGGAAGGAAAGAATAGTGAGATGGAGAGTCCCCGAGGCATTAAATATGTTAGTTAACAATTCATTAAATGGAGGAACAAGAAGTGACACGATAGTGCTTGAACAGCAAACTCTTCAAACTATAATTCCATGACCTTTAGCAACTAACATTTAGCAGCTAATATTTTTAAGAACATAAAGCCACATGGCTGATTTGGTAATTTATTAAAATCTCATAAATAAGACAGTCTTATGTAGTTACTCCACTGCTGCAGGCAAAGTACTTGGAAACAATTATTCTGTCCTAATCCAAAATGAACTGACCACCACAAAAATGGATGATTTAGATGTTTTAATTAAATTCTGTCTTTGGTTGTGGTTTAACAGTATGAGTATTCTGGCAGCTACACCAGCTTGCGGAGTTTGCACCCTTACACTGCAGTGCCTTGCTCCTCAAAGTTGTGTTGATACAGTTATTTGTGAATCAGATCAGGTGATTTTGCATAATTTTATGGGTTTTCCCCCCCTCTAAAATAACACAACAAGCACTTGTTGGATTTTTCTGCCATTTTAATTTGGACCCATCTGATTCTGTTTACAGCAAAGCTGCTTTATAACTAGATGATAGCACAGCAGTTGAGAGGGAAGGGGGTTTGCAGAAAAAGGGCAGAAGAATCAGAATTTCTACCCTCCCATTTACTCAGTCAAGTTCCCTAAGTCGTTGTGTCCCTTATAACAGGGCAGTGCAAGGTTCCTCCTTGCACATGATCAAAGCACTGTCTCTCCTGGAAGAACTGTCATCAGTGTCAACAGCTGGAGCAATAAAAAGAATGCACAACTCCACCCTGTACAGAAATCAGGAATGACAGCTTGTGCTCCAGCAAAGGCAGAGCCTTGCTTCCTTCCTCTGGGACAGCATATCACTTGTTTGAGTTTATGCTATCACTTAATTAATTGGGACAAATGGACAAACAAATAGGGAACAGGGAGAACCACTACATGATGATATCCTAATGCTCAGTACTAGCAGGAAGAATACTTCTACTTATAAAGGATAAAATTGGTAGGGGCTCATCAAATATTACTGGTTGTCATCAAATGAAAATATGTTTAATTATTATGACCTTCTAAAGGATTATAAAGGAATGCTTTTTAATTGATATGACCTTTAACTTTTATATCCATATCCTGACAGTACCTTCAGTGATCTGCTGGGAGAGACAATAGAGATTTCTTCAGAGCTAATGAAGTGTGTTTGGTAGGAAATGATAATGGGGATTATGTGGGTGGTAGAACTAAGAGCTGTATACTGAATGAATCCCATCTGTGGTGACTGCTGCCTACACAGATTTTTTTTCTGCAGTATTAGTTGTAGTCTTCATTTCTTGTCTTAACCTGTTGTGTTTAGCATGCTTTTGATAATATTAAAGAATTGCTGCATTTAAGGGGGAATTCTTTAGGCATGAAGTACAAAATGTTGTGAGGTATT